TCTGAGTCAAGCAGTCCAATCGATGATGTCAGTGTGATGTAATAAAAATTTAAATCTCTAATAATTAATAAATTTCTAAAATAAATCCATCCAAATCCAAAATCCAAATAACACTATAACATAAATAAAATAAATCTAAAATTGAAATCCAAAGAATTTTAAGATTTTTATTATGCCATGTTGACGTCACCGGTCTAACCGGCTGGTTCAATCGGTCAGACCAACGATTTGGCACTGTTCCATTGGTTCAACCCTAGGTAAATCCAGTCTAACTGCTATAACCAAGTTTAGGATTTACTCGAACCAGATAAGGGTCTGGTTTTAGGTCGAACCGGTACTGACTGATCCGATCTGGTCCGGGTTTTAAAACAATGGTCTTAAAGTGGTGAAAAATAATTAAATTAATTAAATTATCCTTGCTTTATTGAAGTCTTAAAGTGGTGAAAAGGTGATTAACTTTATAAACTTTCATTTTTTTCGAAAACCATTGACAAAAAGGGAACATATATTTGAACCTTTGATTCTTTTGGTTGTTTTTTCTTTCTTTTTTTCTCCCATATTGACTTAAATTTCATCTTTTTCCTTTTTTTTTTTTTTTTTTTTTTTAAATAACGCCAAATTTCCCTAGTTAGTAAATACGCGTATGGCAAGAAAACGGTATAGGAATTGTACGGGTATAATACGGCAAACGGTGAAAAATAAGTTTAAAAAAATTCGGCCATAAAATTCGGATACGGGAAAAATACGCTACGGGTATATACGGGTTTAATACGGTGCATTATCAATAATACGTTTTGAAAAATACGGCAATATCAATCTTAGTTTTAACACTTTTATGAACTACCTAGTTAAAATCAATATAACATTTCAAATGCAAAGTATTCAATTAACCAATAACATAAATACACAATATACAAATATAATTGATATTCAAATTATAGTCTCCAGACTCAAACACAGTATTTAGCCAAGATTCAACTATAGTGTCAAATCAAACACAGTCATAACAAAACCAATTGTTTACAAAAATTACAAATACACCCTGCAATCAGTTTACAAAAATTAAAAATGTACCATGTAAAAGTAAAACTATATATTTTATTAAACACAGTCTCTTCTCTTTCATTTTCTCGTTCTTTTCAAAACTTTCTTCTCTCTTTAAGTTTCTTCTCTTCTTTCTCTTTGTTTTCTCCACCCTCTCTTCACTTCTTTCTTAAACCTTTGTCCCTTTTGTATAAACTTATGTCTATTTTGTTTCTCTTCCCTTCTCTTCTCTCCCTCTTCTTTTGTTTCTTCTATTCTCCCTCTGCATTTCTTGCTGACCGACGACTGACCACAGTTGGCCACTGCGTGTGGCCAAGATCTGCGCCCCCTCACACCGTTCTTGGGTTTTGTGTTTTGTGCTTGTGATTGGTTCACATGATTGGGTCCGCCGATGTCCTCAGCCTCGCCGCTCTATTGCCTGAGCAACTGTCTTATGGAAATTTGTTTGTTGGAGTCGGGTGTGGGAGTTGATAGCTTGTTTGCTGGAGTTGATTGTTGTGTGTTGATTGTGGGAGTTGATTGCTTGTGGAAATTTGTGAAGAACTGAGGAAGAAAAGCCGAAGAAGAACTGAGGAAGAAGACGTGAAGAACTGAAGAAGAGCCAAAGAAGAGAGATCTGTTTTAATTTTTAGTAAAAAACCCAGTAAAACGACGTCGTTTTGGGGGTGAGATTTTGTTTTTTTTTTTTTTCAATAATTTGCGAATAGTTCGCGAATTATTCGCGACTAATACGGGAAGCCTTATTATACGCAAATTATATGGCAGATTTTACAAGATACGTATATGTGCGTTTTATACACGAATTATACGGCTATCCATACAATTCACGTATAATACGCGTTTTTACTAACTAGGCAAATATCTTTCCTTTCTTTAAAGTTCGATGTGAAGATATAGTTTTTTAATAAAAAATTTGATTTATTGTCATTTTTTATTGTTTTTTGATGGACTCATTCCGGAAGAAGTGATTCAATCGGTGCAAAAGAAGTGATTCAATTAAAGTATTAAACCCAGAAATGATATTTTAATATTTTGTTGATATTTGGTCTTTTTTAATTATTTTTTCAGTAGAAGAAGCAACTTTATTGGGTGGAAAAAAAAAGTTCTAGAATGACGGAATATTTTCTTGAGCCATCAAGAAATGATACCCCAAATATTACATTGATATACCGGAGTAAATTATTTAATGTAATTTATAATGTTATTTTAATGATATTTAACCCAAAATGATAAAACAAACTTACTGTTCATAAAATTATTTTAATATATCATATGCATAATGGATAAAAGTGCTATTGTCGTAGCACTAAGCGATTTTTGTATTCTTATTTCATCAAAGGGTATGTTTGGTATGACTCTTCTAATAGAGCTTATAAAAGAAAATAAGAGTATTGCTTTTATAAATAATTTGTTTGTTGTTTGGTTAAAAACATGTAAAAGAGTTTCCTACTAGGATTAATTTACCCAAAAAGACTTTAATGTAGAAAGTAAATGACATCAAATCAATGAAACAGAGTTAAGGATATTTTTGAAATTTCAAGGATTTAAATAACTAAATATTTTTTTGAAGTACTTATAGTTTAAATAAGCTCTTTCAATCAATAGATTAGCACAACCAGACAAACTAATAAACATTATATTCTTTTTTTTTTTAATTATATGATAGAATTTAGATAACTAATCAGCTTAAAATTGTAATGTAGAAAAGAAGCTGCGGTAAAGTAATTAAGGAAGATTTCTTTCAGATGGAATAAGTTCAAAATTTGAATTCCACAAGTTACTTCTTCAAATCTTTTTAAGGGAATTTATTAAGACAACAAATAATTCAGCTCTTATTAAATGATTAATGAGATATTTCAAGTCTTATTAAATTTCATTTCTGTAATCAAGCGTCAATAAATTTATGTTATCTGTCTTCACCTGCCCTGTGACTTTACAATATGACGTCCTTAGTTAGAAATACAGTCTTAATTTGATGTGGATATAATCAAGTAGGTAGACCTCCTATGAATAAAATAAAAAGTTCAGACACAGAAGTCCACAATTTTGTACTTTATCTTACATAAATTAATGTAAATGTTTGTGTTTTGTCATAGGTGAGCTCAACTCTCTTATTGTATTGTCTTACAATATAAATTTTAGCTCCATTTTAATGGATGATTAATGTAGAACGGTCATTTCTACATTGAGCTTTGCATTGTACAATCTCTGTTTCTTCTCCAGAGATCTTGCCAAAGAGAAATTTTTACATGGCTTCGTTATCATCTTCTTCCTCCATTATCCTCCAATCCAAATATGAAGTGTTCTTGAGTTTTAGAGGAAAGGATAATCGGGATAACTTTACTAGTCATCTCTATGCTGCATTGTGTCAAAAACAAATTCAAACCTTCATTGATAATGAAGGACTTAAGAAAGGAGATGATATTTCCCCTGTACTCACCAGAGCAATCTTGGATGAACTTGTAGAGATTATTGAGTGTAAGAAAATGAATGGCCAAATAGTTATACCAGTTTTTTATCATGTAAAGCCATCAGATGTACGGAATCAAACTGGAAGCTTTGAGGATGCTTTTGGAGAAAAGTGCAAAGATGGAGAGCTGCTTTGACTTAAGCATCAAATCTATTTGGAATGGATTCAACGGTGTTAAAGTAAGTTTGCCTCTTCTATATATGTAAAACTTTCTATAACTTTTACATAGTAAGGACCATGTGGTGCATGCCTTTCATTAGCTCTCCAAATATNCCCAAAAAGACTTTAACGTAGAATAGTAAATGACATCAAATTAATAAAGTTTCTTTATTCAACAAATAGACCAAAAGATAGTAAAGCAATATGAGATGATGAATTGGCCACAAAATGTTCATTTAATCAAATAAGGTAAAGCGAAAAAGTGAAGAATTTGAATCCTCTTTTTGACTTCAAAATTCAAAATTTAGAAAGCAATCATGGTCACAGCTTCATAAACACCAAAATTTAGAAATTTTGGTTGAGGTTCGATTATCACGAGATTCATGTCTATATTTATATATGGAAGATTAATTTATGACTTAAAACAAAAATGACCCAGAAACTACAAAAATCACATAATATCTTTCAATTACTGCAAATAAAACATAAATAAACAGAGTAAAGATATCTTTAAAATTTCAACAATTTAAATAAGCTTAGAAAGAGCTACAAATTGTAGATTAGCTTATTTAAAATTTTATAAGCATTTTTAAAATGCAACCAAAAGTACTTATAGCTTTAAATATACTCTTTTAATATAGCTCAACGAAACAAACTAATAAACTTTTCAGCTTAAAACTGTACTGTAGAAAATAAGCAGCGGTAAAGTAATTAAGGAAGATTTCTTTCAGACGGAATAAGCTCAAAATTTGAAATTCCACAAGTTACTTCATCAAATCCTTTTAAGGGAATTTATTAAGACAACAAAAAATCCAACTCTTATTAAATTACTAATGAGATATTTCAAGTCTTATTAAACTTCATTTTTGTAATCAACCGTCAATAAATTTATGTAATCTGTCTTCACCTGCCCAGTGAATTTACAATTTGATGTCCTTAGTTAGAAATACAGTCTTAATTTGATGTGGTTGTAATCAAGTAGGTAGGCTTCCTACCAATAAAATAATAAGTTCAGACAGAGAAGTGCACAATTTTGTGCTTTATCGTACATAAATTAAGGTAAATGTTTGTGTTTTGTCATAGATAGGTGAGCTCAGCTCCCTTATTGTACTGTCTTACAATATACATGTTAGCTCCTTGTTAATGGATGATTAATTTATATGTTCCTAGTTATTCCTTTCCTTTTCCAGCATACATAATAATTATTTAATTGAATCATGTCATTGCTGACCCAAACTTTTTTATTTACGAGTTTGTAGAAATGTCATTTCTACATTGAGCTTTTGCATTGTACAATCTCTGTTTCTTGTCAAAGAGACATTTTTACATGGCTTCTTCATCATCTTCTTCCTCAATTATCCTTCAATCGAAATATGAAGTGTTCCTGAGTTTTAGAGGAGAGGATACTCGTGATACCTTTACTAGTCATCTCTTTGCTGCATTGTGTCAGAAACAAATTCAAACCTTCATTGATGATGATAGACTTAAGAAAGGAAATGATATTTCCCCTGCACTCACGAAAGCAATTAAAGAATCAAAGATTGCAATAGTAGTTTTCTCAAAGAACTATGCTTTTTCCAAATGGTGCTTGGATGAACTTGTAGAGATTATTGAGTGTAAGAAAATGAATGGCCAAATAGTTATTCCAGTTTTTTATCATGTAAAGCCATCAGATGTACGGAATCAAACTGGGAGCTTTGAGGATGCTTTTCGAGGGCACGAACAAAGTCTGAAGGTTATGCCAGCAAAAGTGCAAAGATGGAGAGCTGCTTTGACTGAAGCATCAAATCTATGTGGAATGGATTCAACGGTGATAAAGTAAGTTTGCCTCTTTTCTATATGTAAAACTTTCTATAACTTTTACATAGCAAGGACCATGTGGTGCATGCCTTTCATTAGCTCTCCAAAAATATGAAAATTTTACTTTAGTTATCTCACTAGCTTAAATACGATTAGATTCATTTCTAATTTTCTGATATCTCTAATCTATCATGGCATTTTTTTTTAACTCTAGCATTTTTCTTTTTAATATATGCTAGGCCAGAGTCTAAACTTTTAGCCGAGATTATCAAAGAAATTTTGAAGCAATTGAATGAGGTATCGCCCTCAAGTGATTGTGAAGGCCTAGTTGGAATTGAATCACGCATTGATGATATAAAATCATTATTACATACTGAGTTGCCAGATTTTAGAATAATAGGAATGTGGGGGATGGGTGGAATTGGGAAAACAACTATTGCCGGACTAGTGTTTAACCAACTTTGTAGTAAATTTGAAGGTTGTTTTTTCATTGCAAATGTTAGGGAAGAATCAAAAAGATGTGGATTGGTTCATGTGCGAAATCAAGGTCTTTCTCAAATATTAGAAGAAAACCTGAAAACAGGTTCTCCTGCTATACCTGCACCTGTTAGGAGAAGGCTTCAACGCAAAAAGGTTTTAATTGTTATTGATGATGTACATGATTTAGGACAACTAGAAGTTTTAATCGGAGGGCTTCCTCAATTTGGTCCAGGAAGTAGGGTCATTATAACTGCAAGAGATAAACAAGTGCTTTGTAGTTATAGAGTGAACCACATATACGAAGTCAAGAGATTAAAAGACAATGAAGCTCTTCAACTCTTTTGTAATTATGCCTTTAAAACCAACCATCCAGATTTGGACCTTAAGGAGTTGTCAAAGAGGATAACTGATTACGCCAATGGCAATCCATTAGCTCTTAAAGTATTAGGTTCCTCCCTATATCAGAAGAGTAAACAACGATGGGAAGAAGCATTGTGTGAATTAAAGAAAAATTTCAATCCTACTATTTATAATGTGTTGAGAGTTAGCTACAATGGACTGAATGTTGAACAAAAAAGCATATTTCTAGATATTGCTTGCTTTTTCAAAGGCTGGAGTATCAATCTTGTAACAGACATACTCAATAGTTGTTACAGCTTTTCACAGCTTGGAGCTTGATAAGTCATTGATCTTTACAGCACAATCTAATAGGATACAAATGTATAATTTACTGCAAGAAATGGGTTGGGATATTGTTCGTCAAGAATCATTAACTGTCCCAGGGAAACGTAGCCGATTGTGGGATCATGAAGATGTACTTCATGTATTGAAGACGAACACTGTAAGTATCAAATGATTTGAGTTGTTTCTTTTACCAAAATTTCTAACAAATGATATTGAAGTCACATAATACTTGTATAAATTTTAGGAATTAAGATTGTGTATTTCATGCTAACCTATTCTTTTCTTTGGTATATATGAAGGGGACAGACGCAGTCGAAGGCTTGTTTTTAGATATATCTGTTGATGCTCGATCTTGCACCAACGAATTTTTACGTGTATAATATCAAGTGACTGTTTGATGTACGTGAAAATGGAATGTCAGAAAAATAAAATAGCTGTAGAGGGAATTTTTAAGTGGTTCGNTATTATTTAACTAAGTGGAGATATAGATAATATGTTAATTTTAATGATTTATTAATTTATTGGAATCATTTTCTTGTTTTACAGCACGGTTTTGGTTTCAAATTTTACAGCATTTCTTTGAACAAAATAGAGACAACAACAGGAACAAAATAATAATAGTAAAACAAAACAAACAGTAAACAAAGAAAATAATACGCGCGATTTACCCTGGTTCACCCAATGTGGGCTACGTCCAGCTGAGTCAATATTATTGCAATATGCCTTACCTCTCTCGTTTACAATGAATGAATTGCTCTAACACTCATAACAAGAAAAAAGTATGTTTATATACTAGGTTTAAGAGATTAAACCTAGTTTTACAAGGATTCTTATTCCTAAGCCCAACCCAAAAAGGAATTAATAACTTAAAAGAAATCCTATAGCGGTTATACATGGAAAAGCCCAAAACCGCCTACGGGCTCGGGGGCGCTGCCCCCGCGACCCCCACCCGCTCACCGGGGAGTGCGTCTCCATTACCCATTAATGCTGAAGTAGTCGACAACTCCAACATTCTTCACCTATCAATTATCTGGTCAACCTCCGTTACTTGAATCTGAGAGGCTGTAAGAGTATTCAAAGATTTCCAAGTGACATACATTTTGTATCGCTTGTCACACTTAATCTATCGCACTGCATTAATCTCAAATAATTTCCTCTGATTTCAGGGAATGTGACATATTTACATTTAAATGGAACTGCAATAAACGAGGTTCCCTCGTCAATTTCTCGTCTAACTAATCTGGTTGTTTTAAATCTACAATATTGCAGAAGGCTGAAAAGAATCTCAGCTAATATTTGCGAGCTGAAATATCTTTCTTGTTTCGTATTGCAGAGTTTCTACAACTCAATTACTATTCTCTTCCCGAAATTGGAAAGAAATTACGTGCTTAAAGTTATGTTTCTGCAATATAACAGACTTTCCCGAAGATCTGTGCTATTTATCCTCTATGAAATCTTTAGATCTCCGTGGAAACAAATTTGAGCGTCTTCCTTCAAGTTTCAAGCGGCTATCTCAGCTGAAAAGTCTTTACCTACAGAACTGCTATATGCTTCAATCAATGCCAGAGCTTCCGCTGGCACTAGAATATTTAAATGCTAGAACTTGCTGTCGACTTCAATCGTTACCAAGGCCACCATCAAATATAGAGGTATTGGATGAAGCGGAACTAGAAATAGTACTATCTGAATACTGTCCGCAATATGAATTAGGTAAGTTTATAAGATTGAGTTTTGTGAACTGCCTGAAGCTGAATCAGAATGCAGACAACATTTTGGGAGATTTACATGAAAGAATTAAACAAATGGCGATCGTAGCACTAAGACTCAGTTACGAAAAGGTTACTGTCTTTCTTTCTTTCTCTCTTTTTATGTCCCCTCTCACTCGCACAATCTCTCTCTTATCAGATATTATAAATTTCATATTTCAGGTATTTGATAGAATACCTGGAGTGCTGTTATGTTTGCCTGGGAGCGAAATTCCTTGGAGTTTTAGACATCAAAGCTCAGGTTCAATTATAACCATTGAGCTACCTCAGCATTGGGATTGTTACAATAGAAGGTTCATGGGATTCACTTTTGCTGCTATTTTTGTAGTTGGGGAGAATGATGACAAAATCGAAAGCTTTAGTATCTCATGTAATTACCGTTTTGAAGACACTTACAACTCCTGCATGAGTGATGATTCTGGTTTTGCTACTTTTTAGTTACAAAAATATCGATTACCTCCTGCATGAGTGAGAAATTGATGATGGCTGTTCCTTATAACTCACGAAACGCTGCACATACTAGAAGTAGAAAATAATTCATTGATCTTGATGACCAGGGCTAATTATTGCATCAAAGAAGGTCATAGTCGTTAATCATGCAACGTAATTGTGTGGTTTGGTGGACACTCACAAGAAGGCAAGGCCTTTGATAATTGGAGGTATATGTTACAATTTTATAACTGCTAAGTTTGGTTCAGGTTTGAGGATAAACCAGCTAAATTGACAAAAAAAATTTGGCCCAAAGTTTGAGATTAAATTATTCAAATTGGTAGTCAGACAAGTTAATTTTCCGCTAAAATAGGCTTTGATATATCTAGGTTCTCATTGAGTGTTTAGCCATCTGCAGGGTTGCTGGATGAACTCATTAATTGGGCATTTTAGAATGTATGACTAGCAGTATAAAAGGAATTGAATTGAATTAGGTACTCATTAAAATAAATCACCATCTATCTCTCTTTCTACAATAATTGTCAATAAATCACTATTGATATAAGATTTTACCGGCAATATTAATTGTGTTCTCCTTTATGATCAACTGGAAACAGGAATTAAAAAAATCATCCTTGTCAAGGCTGTCTTCGAACATACACAAGGATTAGGTATGAATTGAAAGATGCATATACAAGGATTCATGTCCTTCGTCAGTTAAAGTTCAATTTATGCAATACATTTATGTGCCTTTCTAAATCATTTTATAAATCTTGTGAAATATATAACTTTAAAACTACTGTTGTCATTCAGTGAATCTATTTCACCTGCAGATGAAATAGACACCTTTTGTGATAAAGAAGTTCATTTTATAAATCTTGTGCCTTCAAAATCATTTTATAAATCTTTATCACCTTTTGTATCAGGTACAAGACCAATTAATTAATGTATGGAACTCGGTGAATTAGTTTTATAAATATTAAAACTATTTAACCTGTGGGAGTTGACTATGGAAATATGTTTTTCAGTTCATGGAATCTATCAAGAATTAATTTGAAAATTCCTTTGTCAGGTAGTCTTTTCTAAATTTTTTTTTTTTTTTTTTAAATAACTTAGGCTTGTAATTAAATGTTATTCTAGAGTGGATGTGTTTGATCAGCTTGTATATTTTAAGGTTGTTATGGAAACCAGCTAGGCAGACAAGCACTTTGGCCTTCTGTAGACTTGACCAAAGAGATGAATTCCCTGTGGTTGATAGATAGCGAAAGAGACTTGCTTTAGAGGTAATTAATCTCTTGTATTGTTTAAATTTCCTTCATTTATGTTCAATAAGAAGTGGCACTTTGTACCCAAATGGTTTTAAGAATTTCCATTTTAATTCCCTCTTTCATAGCAGAAAAAATTTATTCTACGGATTCTATATGTTTGTCATTGCTTTTAATTATCTTCCTTAGATTTGTATAGATGCATCAAAAATCTTTCAAAAATTTTCCACACAGGTTTGCATTGCTAAATTGAATCCAACTTATGAGGCGGACTTGGGAGATGCACCAAATCTGATGAAAGGGATTTGTTTGCGAGAGTTTTATTATTGATGGGTGTTGAAGGTGACGTCAGAATACACTTCCGTTTTGCTTCAACTAAGTCACTCATCCAGCTGTTGATTCTCAAGCAGATCTCACGCCTCTCATCAAGCCACGTGTACAGCAACACAAAAGTCAGATTTCGGGTCAACATAGATCAAAATATCTCTCTCTTTTGCACTCGATTTTTGTTGTATTACGGTTATTTGCTCTTTATTTTGTTCTTTTGAGAAACCGATGTAATCAATTGAGTGTCGCTGAAATTCACTCATAGAGGGTTACATTGCTCTCGAACCAGGGTCTCTAGGGTAGAGTTTCTCCTAGGTTTTGATTACGGTTTTGTATTATCTTTAGAAGAGGAATTTGGGCGAAGTGTAAAGAGAGTGAGTCTTGATTGAGTTGATCTGGATATTGGAATCGATTAGTGCGGAGAGCCCTATTAGTTGTGGACCCCATGTCGAGCCAGTCTTCACGATCGCAAATTAATCATTAATACTATAGTTAGCGGTAAGCAGGGTCAAGTCCACAGGGAGCAATTACTAGCAACCTAATATAAATTTGAGTAACGATACTGAAATTGACAAATTGATTAATTAAACTAAACAAACTAAATGCAAATAATAAAAGCTTGAAAATAAAACTAGTGAAGACTTTATAATAAAAGCATTGCCACTACGATTTTAGTTCGACATAAGACCAAGCTTGAAAATAAAACTAGTGAAGACTTTATAATAAAAATGTTGTCACTACGGTTTTGGTTCGACACAAGACCAACTCACATAATTCTCATCCACACTCTACGATCCCCTAAACCTACAAGGCAAAGTAAACCAATAAAATGGATTTTCGGCACTCTAGGTATAATCTATCCTATCTCACCTGATCACTCAAGTTTGATTGGTTAAAGACTATCATTGAATGCCGATAAATGCTACAAGACAATACCACTGGTTGGTACGCGATTAACAAATACAATTTGTCAACACGTATCATCCAATCAACCAACTTCACAATAAACGCAACAACAGTAGAAATGACATTAAATCTGAACACAACTCAATTACAATCGATACAAAGTAATGAAAAGCAATATTCATCATTTAATTATCTCAAACCAGCATCTATCATTCAGTAAGTTCTATGAAAACATTTAATCACAATAGACAACTATATTCATCACAAATTATGCTCAAACTATATTAAAGTATCGAAATCA